TGATCCCTAACTAATGAAATATACAATTACAGTACCTATATTTATCTGGTAACTCAGTATAACAATATATAACTTTATTTAAATATTTTTTGTATTAAACTTTGTTTGCGCAAATCCATTTAAGGATATTCATTTAATATCATTTCGAGTATTTCTGCCAAAAATCACAATTAGGCGTGGATCATTTTCGGAAGTTCAGTCACCAAAAAATTTTGAAAAATTAAAATTTTGAGATTGCTAAAAATTAACTTAATAGAGAAATGTTTTATTTTGTTATTGCAATAATATGATTATAGATTTTAGTTTAGATTTCTATAATATACTTATAATATACTTCTATATAAATCTATAATATACTTATATATAAATTACTATATATCTTATTTGTAAATAAGTTTACATGGATGTCAATACTGATGAATGATTTTATCTCGATTTTTATTTCGTGTATACTTTGATAAGAGATTGATTAATGAAGAATTGAAGAACAAAGAAGAATGAATAATAAATTAATCTGTTTCGGCAATAATAAACTGAGATTAGTTAATAAATAATTTGAGAATTAATTTAATTTATAAAATATTGGACATGAAATAAAATAATTGTGAGTGTAATCTCTTACATTATAAAACATGACATTTTTATTTTATTAGAAAGATTAAATTATTGGATATTTAAATGATAAATAGAATTAATTTTTGAATTCCTCCAATTAGATAATTAGATATATATTAGATATAATAAAAGGGAATTTTTAGTTCTGTATTTATCACTTTTCTTTTTTTTTTTTACAATGTTCGCGATCACATAACTTTTGTGTGAATCATATTTGTCTGTATGTTCACGAGATATTTTTATTGGTAGATGTCACGCGCGTTCTTCACAAACGATCTTGAAGATTATGACGTATTCAATACTGAAGGACAAGCATTATGTGATGAGACTGGCATATCATTCCAAGTCACGACTGAATTGTATATACGTTAGAAGTTCATGATCGAGGTTCTCTCTCTCTCTCTCTCTCTCTCTCTCTCTCTCTCTCTCTCTCTCTTTTAACATTGTTATGTTGTTGTGATATTAAAAATTTTTTTTTTATTTATTGTATTAACGCTATTAATAAATATGAATTCTTTTGATTGATTTTGATTTCAATTTATAACATTGATATTTTAAATAAAAATGTAAAAATAAAAATAATTTTTAAATTACGATATATCGGAAATAATAAATAATTTTTAATGTTGATATAATTAAATATATGTACATATATTTTTTCTAAAACTTTAATTGATAACAATGAAATAATTCTGTTAAAATTTTAAAAAAGTATTAACAATTTTGATAATTTACGATTTTAATTACGTACATTAAATTTTTCAAATCAACACAATCGTATGCACACATAACTGATTGTATATATGTAAGCGTACGTTTGCTATCGCTAGAACAAAATTATATTCAACTTGACCTCGATCGTGCAAATTACATGATAAATGAATTTGTGTTATCGCGTCACGTCGCGGGAGTGGCAATTACTTTGCTGGATACGGCTCGTACAGAGCAGGTAGTAACCTGTTGCATGGCCTTTCCTCCTACTTAGGTTGGTCAATCGCGTGAGTCGATTGACAATAAAAAAAAAAGAAAACACATCGACGACATTGCAAGGTTGGTGATTATTGCAATCAAAATGATGCAACTGCCTTTTCTTGTCGCAAGACGTTTTGTATTAAATTCCCTGTTCGCGAAGTCAACGCTTTTACTTCTTCAAAAATTATTCTTTATAAAGCAAGCGCGCGCGCGTGTGTGTATATGTGTGTGTGTGTATGCGCGCATGCGTGCGTGTGCGTGCGCGCGCGCGCGGGTGTACTATAATTCTCTTTATAGTAAATTATGATCGTGCAAAACATCAATATTAATTTGATAAAATAAAGTAATATTGAGGACAAGAAAATGTTTAATTGCTACTAACAAAAAAGACTTGCAAATATTTACGATTTTGATAAATTCTAAGTCGTACGTCGAACGATGTGTAAGGTCCTTATTTTTTAATATTCTTTATATTGACTTTGTATTGATTTTAAAACAAAAATCGACTTTTATATTTCTAAACATATGAAAAAATGTTTTAAACAAAATTTATGTTTGATTTGAAAGGCATTTTGTAAAAGTGTATTTAAATTTTTCGGAAATGTTACATCTTTTATAGATAACTCCATTACATATTATTACATTTGAGAATTAAAAAAATATTTACGATAAAATTAAAGTTTGTTGAAAAATTCAACAGTGTATAAAAGAACGATTTTTTATTCTTTTTTTAGATATTTATTTATATACAGCTAAAAAAAGAGTGTCCGGTAATTATTAATGAAGTGCAAATTATAGAGTTGCAAAATGGTACTGGACTTTTGGACTTACAATGAGTTTAGTCTCTACCTGCACATTAGCATTTTGTCAATAATTATTAGACACTCCGTATATTTGTATATTTCGTTTTGATATATTTCTTATTTGATAACATTATCATAATTGTATAATTAGAATTGTTTTCTTTATTTAAGAAAAGAAGAAACAGTTTTAAATGATAATAAATAATATGGACATTGAGTGGAATGAATAGATTATTATTGCAAAACTGGATGCAAAATTCTTATTAGATAAAAATGTATTGAGATAAAATAGAAATATATTTTCGTTTAAGATTATTGCACAATGTAGATAATAATACACATATAATATGTAGGATATACAATATATCCTTTACTATTCCTTTTACTTACCTCAAGAAATAGCAACAACACATTAAGTTTACTATTATTTCGTCCGGCACTGTAACTACGTATTGTGATGTTTATTAAATTTAATTGCTTTGTCGATTTTCTCGATCAGTATGATTCCTTTGAATTTCGTATACATGAATCAGTTGAATCAGTTCTCTCGCTCATCGTTTATCGATGGTAACATTAAATATAAGAGAAAGTGGCACGCACGATTATGCTTCATCCCATACCTCGCTTTGACAATTGAAATTTATTCGATTTCGCCATTGATACGCGTTCTCGAGAGCGTTAAGATTTTTTACATAAAATCGCAAGCATATCTAATTGACTAGCAAGTAAAATTTTTGATGATTCATCTCTTGAGAGAAGTTCAATAAAACCGCTTTAATTAATTATAATTTGGGAAGAATAATCATCCTGTTCTTCAGATTAATCTATAACAATACATATCGTAAACAACGCAATTAATGCGTCGATACAATATTGATGCACCAATTATTAATACACGATAATAGCAGAATTATTTATTGCTGATATATCTGAAGTTATACATCGTTTATTTGTTATAACAAGGACATAACTCAAAAATTGTCATTTGCAGAAAAAGACTCGCATATAACACTGGGAATTCTGAGTAGAAAATTTCGTTGTGATAAAAGTTGGAATATAAAACTATCCGAGATTATTAAACTTAATTTCAAAATAATTGAAGATAAACAAATTTTGGTATTATATTCTTTAAAAAATAAACATTTCTAAATAGTAACAATAACAAGCTTGATCCGTTAAAATTAGGTTATTAAGTAAGAGTTTACAATTTTCTTTTTCCCATAAAAAATGTAACTGTAACAAAATCAAGAAACGATGAAGATGCCAAAATCTGTGTAATCGTGATCTTATTATTTTGAAAATTATTATTATGTTATACATATTTTTTGAATATCTTGTGTAAGTATATTTTGTGCTTGTGTGTATTATGGCCTGTTTTTATGTAATATCGATCGGTAAGACTGTATACAAAAAATCATTTCATTTCTTGATTGATCAAAAACTCTCGCCAATTGTCCGGTGATATGTATGTATTACATATCTCTATGATTATAAATCGACGTTACACTGAATGTCGTTCACTTGGTTTTTTTTGTTAAATTTGCAAGCGTCTGGAGAGTGTATTATTGTTGTTTTTTTAACAAATTTTTTTATTTTTTATAATATAAATACGTTTTCTAATGTTTTTGAGTTTTATGTTTATTAACAATTTCATCTTTATTCTGTCTCACAAATTTACTAATTATATAATAAAAAATTACCTCGAAGAAATAGCCGCAAAAGGCAAATAAATTTGGCATGCTATGTTTTCACAACGGAAATTATTTGTGAAATTTCTGGCCGTTTTTCGATTTTACGAAAGTACTTTCATGTCTCGATTACGCCTTATGCAAGCTACCGGTAGAGAATGAAAGTCGTGGGAATGAAATGATGGAAGCGTATACAGATTGATAAATAAGCTGTTAACTGATCTGTCTTCTCACAGAAAAGAGAAAAAAATTTTCTAATTTTTTAAGATAAATAAATTGTCTATTGGTTGACTGTGCTTTAATACTTTGACTCACAGAATAATGAAATAAATCAATTAATTAAAGAAAATATATAAGTGCTTTTCAAAAAATTATACAATTTGTAATATTCAACTATAGATATATCTTATTTAAAAAGCAACTATATTTTTTTTCTTTACACTAATTGATAATTTTTATTTTGTCCATAAAGGTAATACCTTTATGGACAAAATAAATTATTACGGTACATTTATCTTAAAAAGGAATATTTACGGTATATTTATTTTCAAAAGTTGACAGATTTTATTTTAAAAAATTAATAATTTACAAGATATTTTATGTTAATATGTGCCGGAGTAAAGTGTATAATATTTTGTAAACTATTAACTTTTCGATAACTTTGTATATTTGTATATTTTTATATAATATAGAGAAATAAATAGTATAACAATCTTTATATACATATATAAAGAAAATAATATTATTTCAATTTAAAAAATGGCGATAATCTTCATACGACTTTCAAAAATAACTTTTTTGAAATTAATTTTATTATTATTTGTCCTCCTTCAGACAACATTTTTCTCTAAAATTGTAAACGATTATTTCTGGAAAATTTTATTCATTTAAAATTTTAGAGAATATAATACGTATTGTCTGAAGAAGGACAAATAATAAATAAATGTATAATATTTAATAGAAATATTATAAGTGCATTATTTATGCAAATTTCATATTGCGATAAATACTTACATTAACTAAGGTACAATTTGTTAAAATCCTTTCTAAAGGCATGTTAAATCGATACTCACATCTATCTAAGTTTGAAGTCTCTTTTCCGCAATTTTGATTAGTTCTGTCATTGCGCTTACTTCGCGAGTAGCTGTCATTGCATATTTTAACAGTTGTGTGTATTGAGGTTGATAGAATGTATAGCAAATATAATAAAAAGTGAAAAATGTTAAATAGTGCGCGCGAAGCGTGCTGTACTGCTGGTATTATTAAAACTATGTATATTAAAAAAGTTATATTAAAACTATAACTATGTATTTATTATAAAACTAGTGAGATAAAAGGATAAACATTGATTTAACTGCAATCATGATAATAAAAAACACAAAAAAGTCAAGAATGATGATCACAAAACGGACATTAAATATTTGAAGTTATGATAAATATAAACCGAACAATTGATCTGAATCGAAGGTTAAATGAGAGCCGTAGTACATGGTATAGATACATTAAGCTAGTAAAGATACATTAGTACCAACGATTAAAAAATTGTGATAAATGATTATTCCTTTCAATACTTTTTGTAGGAAAAATCTAAACTGGTTAGAGAATCCTATTTCTGTAATTAAGATTGTGAGTTGCGGATGTATATATTCATATTATAGGTATATCATAGTAATCTTTTCTAAGAAGCGTGAGATTAAACGAAAAATTATCGCAAAGAAATAGAAGGCAACATACGCATCTATCCATCTACCGGTGTTCTCACCTGTTCTTGCGATATCTTACGTAATAACGCGTGTGCATACTCGCTTTAATTTGCATTCCAAATGCAACCGGAAAGAACGAGCGTCGCAATAGTACTGTTAAGTATAAAAAGAGAATTCAAGAGCGGATCGGTCAAATCGAGAATCTAACTAATACATGTGTGAATTAACATTGATATAATAATTATGTCAAAAATAAAGAGTAACTTTTTTTATATTTGTTATATAGTTATTTTGCTTGTGTATTTTTGCATCGTACGTCTCTTTTTGTATAGATCAACATCTCTCGTTATATAAAATGTAATATAAAATATTATATATATCAAAATGTTAAGATTACAAAAGTTTTCAAATGGGAAACATTGAAAGGTGGTCCATTGAATTGTTAAAAATTTACACGAACTATTGCAAATATCGCATAGCAAAAGTGCTCTTAAATAGATATTAATGTTTAAATATTTTTGGCATGCATTTTTAAATTTATGTCTTTGTAACTTTTCTTACTTATTTAATTAACTGATTGTGCTAAAATTAAAATTGTAGCTTCAACGTTTTAGTATTACAATTGTTTCTAAATGATTTAAAAAATCCATTATTAGCAGATGCTGCGATAGGTTGGAGACATATATACTACATGCATCTAGTATATATATATATATATATATATATATATATATATACACATATATATACATATATACATATATACATATATATGTATATGTATACATATAATTTTGCATTTTTCTCACAAAATCACACGCAGAGAAAATATGATAAAATATAAAATATATGAAAATAATAAAAAAAAATCTTATTATAAGGTAAATGTCCCTATTTATGACCATTCGTGGACTTTTATTTAATTATATAATCAGAAGTTTTAAGTAATTGATTTTCGAAACAAATATTCATCACGTTTGGTGATTACTGAGCCACAGTTTAATATATTGGTCAAGAATATTTGACTAACAAATTGACTAACAAACACACTTGTGAAAATATGAAATAAGACGCTCGTATCACCATCAATGGCAGATCGAGCGTGTTTGTCGTCATATTAGTGATGTGACGTTTGTCACGGCACAGTCACAGAGTTACAGCGTGAAAAACAAAGTGTTCAAGAGAAAAGTGAGGATTATTCGATCAGTGAATAATTATAGATTATTGTACTACTTGTGGATTCCGAAAAAGGTTGGTAGTTTTAAGTATATAGGCGAACATTATAAATAGGTACAACAAAACACGCATGTCCGTAAATGTAATCGGCTCAAGAAAATTATTCATAACAGTATATTTTGCTACTAAAAAGAAAAAAAACATAATACTCATCTCCATAATCCCGCTTCTGAACGGGTGTGAGTTGCATTTGTACGAGTATAAACAGAAAAATATTCGATTATGCTCGAAAAAAAATTTTAGCGACAATGTTATCACTTTAGGTTAAGCACTAATTGGGACATGTTCGGATGCGTGTGTTTTGTGACCACAGCTTCAAAGCGAGAAAATGTATCAGCCGGTCACAAAATCGAGATATGTTCAATATAATTTGATGTACCGGTCACTAACTGGGACAGACGGGCGATCACTATAATAGAGTCAAATTGAAATCAGGCAGTTACTAATGCGTTCATTTACATAGTTTGCAATTCCTTTTTTATATTTATTAGATTATGTTTAAAACTTAAATGAAAAAAATTTTCGATACAAAAATAATTAATCTTGTATTCGGTATAATAATTTTTTTATTTTAATCACTCTAGAATACTTTCTTTTTTTATTAATTTGTGCAATTATTTTACATCACAAATAGGGACATTTACCTTAATATCATTTTTAAAACTTATTATTATTATTGATAACGAAATTCTTTATATAGAACTATTTAAAAAAATACTTAATTGTAATGTAATTATATTTCAATTACAAGTAAAAGCATCATTTTGATAACTTTATTGATTGAGCTATCGTATATAGATATTTTCATGTTATATCTTTAATATTACTAGAGATAGGCACATTGTATATTCTTCACGCAGTAACAGCTCATGCAATCACACGGATGGCCTTTCTTATCGGAAGTTAAATTAACCTCATCGCACATTTCGCTTTCCCCAATCAACGTCCGCCGCTCTTTCATTTGTGCTCCACAGCACACGATAATCGGTAGTCTCGATAGCGTGTAAGACGAAATTGAATCATATTACATTATAGATATCTTTCTTTCACTTATGGATACTTGCGCTTAGTCCAGCCACATCTGGTATCCTCTTCGAACATCTATGTCGTAGAAATTCAGAATTGCTCGTACAAACCAGGAATTAATTTTTTCTTACATAATTAGGGAAAATTGAGAAAGGTGGACGCGATTATAGGCCACCGTTCATGTTTCGCGCGATTGACGCCTTTTGAAAGTTAATTTATAATTTTACATGCTTCATTTACCATGCCACTTTCATACACGGACAAGTGTTCATTCCATTCATTTATTTATACAATATTTTTGTGGAAATTAGTATTTTCACAAAATGGAAAATTGTATAATTGTGTATAAATTCTGCGGGAACTGTTTGAATTATTTGAAACTGGCAATGTAAGAGTTAAAAATATTTAAAGCATAATTGTTAATACAAATAAACTTCAATGTTTAATCCATATAATTTATCAGCATAAAAAAGAAAAATTTTAGTAAACTGAAGTATAGACAATGAATGTAAATTTATACGAAATAAATATACAAAGAATATCTTTACATTAATTACATTAATTTATACATTAATTTTATATATTTATAATAAATTAATTTTATACATATTAATTTAATACATATTATTTTTACTTATTTATAATTATCTAATTTAATACATCTAGTTTAATTACATAAGTATTAGTAAATAAATTTGTTTTTAATTAAATATTTAATGTAATTATATAGAGAAAAACATCTATTATTTAGAACTACTGTACGGGAAAGAAATACAATTTTTTAATTTGATGTACCTACTTATGATCGAAAGTATTATACGAAAGTATTAAGATTTAAATATCTTGAAAAGGAAGCATAAATGTTTCAGACGAAAATTTTTCAATTTCAAGGGATCAAAATGTTGGAATAATTAGTTTGATCTTGAGAGGCAACAGTAAAATCAGGTCATCTCTACTTTTTTAAATAGAATTATATAATTTTTATACATAATATGATTCCTGAAATTTTTTGTATATAAAAGTATTAGGGTAAAGTTATTGAGAAGTCAATACTTTACGAGATATATTATTTTCATCATGTCATATTTCAACACAAAATATATGAAATAAATCTCGTAAACTATTATCTCGTATTATATATCTCGTAAACTATTAACTTTTTGATAATTGTAACTCAATACTTTTATAAAATGAGATAAATCGATTAATATATGTAAAGAAAATATAGTTGTTTTTAAAAGATATATGTAGTCGATTTTGCAAATTGCTATATACAGGATGTTTATAATGTCTCACCCAGGCCTAATATCTCGGAAACGGCTTTAGATACTGTAAAATGTTTCAAATATTATAAAAGTTATTTAACTTCAAGGGGGACATAAAATGGTACCATTGGTTTGACCTTATGTGGCGCTGTCAAGGTCAGGGAAAGGTCGCTTTAAATTTTTTAAATGGAATCTCCCATTTTTTGTTGCATATTCTTGTAGCTTATCTCGAGAGCTTTCCAAAACACATAGATAAAATATTTTTTGATTAAGTAAATCTTGAGTTATGAAGCTTGAAATTTGCAGTACCGTTGGTTAGCGTTATCCAAGGTATTTGACCACTGGCTAAAACCTTTGAATGTTGTTCAGGATCATGACTATGACAACACATCAAGGCCATTAAAGACTATTAAAGATTGTTTTTATTTCCATTTTTGAAAAAAGAGAAAACAATCTCCAATGGTCATGACCTTTATATGTTTTATCATAAGGTTCATAAAGGTTAACAGTAAAAAAAAAGGATCACATTTCGAAGAAAAATTAAAGAGAGAAAAATGATAAATAAAATGATAAAAATAAGAATTATTCGTAGTAATTAAAAATTTTTTTATGTAAATAATTCTTAATTACTACGAATAATTCTTATTTTTATCATTTTATTTATCATTTTTCTCTCTTTAATTTTTCTTTTGTTAACGATTTTTAATTTAGTCTGTATTTCAAACACTGCTTTTCCCGGTTACTCGAACAGTATTACCAAAGCGGCTCAGGTTTGATCATAAGGAAGAGACTAAAAGGCTTTCGTCTGGCATGTACAGAATACCACTACAAGTGGTGAGCAATAAAAGTAAAACATACGGAATGGTGAGAGCAGCGAGGAAGAAGCAGAACGAATAAGAGAAACGAGGGAGAGTAAGGCAGAAGCTAGTATCTCGAGTTTTTTTTGTAGTCTTGTAATTCCTTGGACTTGCATCTTGATTATCCTTGCGATATTAATTTTTTTCTCATTTATTTTCTATTATTTCTCCTTTGGATTCAAAATATTCGATAATAGCTACATCATTGTCTTCTATATGTGATCACATTGCGGAAAATTGTTTTGAAATATTTATAATAGATTCTAGAGAGTTTTACGAAAAGAAGTATATCATAAATAAATATAACGATTACAAAAAATAAAAATATAATGCATAATGTTACACTTTCTAAACATGGAAAAAATATTGATAAAATTGTTTGTTAAAGTGTGTAGAGATTAAAAATTAAATTCAAAACATATTTAATTGTAAATTACAAAAATATTTCCAAAACTTATCTTTTTAATGCGAAGTTTAAGGCCAGGCTTAATTTAAAAATTAATTTAAGATTTCAAGCTGTGCTTAAAATTTATTTACGTTAAAAAAATTTAGAAAAGAGTTTACTTTTTTAAATTCTTGAAGAATTATTTAAAAATTATTAAAAGATTAGATCTGTATGACTTAAAAGAAAGGTTTTCTCTAATTATTGTTAAAAGAAAGATGCGTGAGAAAATAATACAATTCTACAATGAATTATATGACTGTGTTAATAAAAAACAAAGGATATTCTGATTTTAATTTTAAAGAATTGTAGATAAAAGATAATGACTTATTATGATGAACTAAAACTTTAGCTAAATAGTTCCGATTTAAACTTATGAGTTCTTTAGTGAAGCTGGTATTTCTCTTTTTCTTTTGTCTGATACAAAATTATAAACTTAAAAATTGGA